ATATATATATATATATATTTATATATATATATATATTAGCACGTACAGATCCGCCATTATAGCCTCAGCTCTGTAGAAAAGTTGATGATGACTATGAGGAATTTCACGTTCACGTCACAGCACAACAGACCGGCTGACTATTTTTGTGTAAATAATTTTAAAACATCTATTTTTAGAATGTGTTTAGTGACAGAAGCTGAAGGCGCGGACTTTAACCCGACGAAAGTGTTTTTATTGTCATTTTTGACTGATGTCATGTCATTTTTTACTGATGTCATGTCATTTTTGACTGATGTCATGTCATTTTTTACTGATGTCATGTCATTTTTTACTGATGCCATGTCATTTTTGACTGATGTCATGTCATTTTTGACTGATGTCATGTTATTTTCACTGACCTCATTTTCAGTAATGTCATTTTCATCGGCGTCCAATTAATCAGGTGATGGCACAACTTTTGTAACATCTTTAAAAATTGTTATTAGTATGGTGTGTAGTCTGATGAACTCTTAGCAATCTGTGTAGTCTGATGAACTCTTAGCAATCTGAGTAGCCTTATTAACTCTTAGACAGCTGAGTAGTCAGATCAACTCTAAACAGGCTGAGAAGTGCAGTTAACTCTTAGCATCTAGAATAGTCTGATGAACTCACGAGAAACTGAGTGTCATGTTAAATACTGAGACTTTACATTTTATTTTTACTACTTTGTTGAATACTACTTTACGCTGTAAAAAATAATACAAATGTTAGAACATTTTAATTATTAGTGAATATTTTTTAATTTATTATATTACGACTCTATAACATTTTTTTTTAATTTTTTTTTTTTAATTTAATGTATATCAACACGATGACAATCTTTCTAAATATAAATTATTTTTTTTTTTAAAGTATTATCCTTCGGTGCCATAAATAGAAACAAATTGGATGCTCCTGCTGACCTTCGCCTTTGATAAGAATTTATTTTTTCGGGACATTACTTAACGAGGCTATTTACGAGGTCACTTCCTCTCTCCCACTCGACTGAGATATTATTCCGAGCTGTTTACCTAATTGTCAGATTCATTGACATCACTGTGAGAGTGGGAGTGGGAGTGGTCTTTGAAAGCACAGACATCCCGAGGAAAGCATCAGCAGAAGTAAAGGCCTCTAAATCTACTGAGTGCTGATGGGGGTTGACTGAAGAGGTCTTTAAAGCGATCTTGTTGTGCTATGACTTAAGTAATTAGGTCAGACCACTGACATTTCCCCCGGCAAATGTGTTCTTGTTTTTTCAATAAAGTTGTTTTGATAAGGCATTCAAAACCTGATTTTTTGTTTTAAGACTAGCTAATAATGTATTAGGCCTTTTATAAAAAGCGCTCCTCTGAAGGTGTATTTAAGAAAATTGGATTGGATTTATTTGTGTTTATTGCGTGCTTCCAGACCCAATTCTTGTATTGACATAAACACACTCATGAAAACTGACATATGCCGATTAAAATAGTTATGTTTATGTTAACTTCGGTAATAAGAGTACCAGCACTTTGATTACAGATAACTTGCGAGATTAGAGTTCCGGCACTTTGATTACAAATAATTTCGGTTATGAGAGTAAAGGCAATTTGATTACAGATAGGCCCCGGAGTAATCTGATCCTGACTACACTAACTTTCTTGACATGTAGCTGTTCACAGACACAGCTCATGATACGAGAGTCACATTCTCGTAAAAAGTTATGATAATTATGTTTTTATATGCCCATATTGTGTCATGATACTCGTTCAATAGCATGATAATTATATCAGATACTTGTTCAATTCATGATAATTGAAGCTGGTTTTTAATTCATGATAATTAAAGCTGGTGTTCAATCCGTGATTACATCAGGTGTTCAAAACACTCGCACCCCACGCGCCGACGTGACCAATGCCAGACAAGCTAGGGCAGCACCCACCCCCACGCGCCGACGTGACCAATGCCAGACAAGCTAGGGCAGCACCCACCCCCACGCGCCGACGTGACCAATGCCAGACAAGCTAGGGCAGCACCCACCCCCACGCACCGACTTGACCACCGCCAGACAGGCGAGAGCAGCACTCACTAGAGCAGTGGTCCGAAAATCGTTGCTCACATCAGAGCAGGGTTAAACCTGAAAAAATACACGCAACAAAACAGCGAACGTGTCGGCAGAAAGCCTTCGTCCGCGAACAAAACAACAGAAAAAACGGTATAAAAATAAGAAATAGCACTTAGCTGGAAAGTAGTATCTGTGGGCAGCACTAGAAACAGCGTCATAGAGCGGAGGGTGGTGGGAGGCGTCTAAAGGGGGATAACCTCTTCCGTACTGCTAAAAATCATAATCCTCTAAAATGAATGGATTACAGTAATGCAAATTATAAGTTTTTAATAAAAAAATAATAATAATCATTATAATGAACTATTGCCAAAGAGTTTTGCTTCTAATTGGAAATGTGTAAGTTGCATCTTGCCTAGTTTTAAAATCTGAAACCTTGAACTAATTTTTTTCATCCTTTCATAATCTTATTGTTTTGCGTAAAATTGAATGTAATTTTTTACGATCTTATTCGATATCTAACTTAAATTGTAAAAAAATGTATGAAATTTAAAAAAAAAAACGATGAGCTCTGAGAGAAATCATCCCCCCCCCCCCACGGCCATTTCTTCACTTCATCGNGCCATTTCTTCCCTTCATCGGGTCAAATAAACAAGGGTTGGCTCCCCCCCCCCCCCCCCCCCTACACTGATGTTAATGTCAGAAAAAAAGTTCAAGGAAGTAGAAAATATTCTCGTTTAATCGGTTGTAAAAAAATCGTTCTTTTCATGCTACCCTTGTCAGTAAGTGCTTGCGTTGGACCAACAACAAAACGTAGATCAGAGAGTACACAAATTGAGGCTATTGCGTCATTGTTTTCTGTGCTCGCCGAGTATTGCAACAGAATCAGTCGCGTCTAAAAAGCGTCATACATTTTCAAAAGTCCATTTATGTATTTCACTTTAACCAAGGCTCGAGGCAGTGCAAAATAGTTTCCTTTTTTTTTTAAACGAAAACATCAAAACCGCATCAAATATTTTATTTTCAATTCCATCGCCTTCAACTCCACACTATTTGAGGTTCCAGTTTCTAGAAATAAATATCCCTTAAATTGTAGAAGGAAGTATGGGTAGGGGGTAGGAAATCAATTCCTTTAATCTCATACTATATGAAAGATGTTCATATCTATTTTAGCTTGATTTACAGGATGACAAACCCAATATGTAATCAAGTTTTAAAATGAAATATTGAAAACCAGAACAGTAAATAAAGGTAAGTGGAGATAATGGTTGTCGAGCTCAGGTATCAAAATAAGTGTTGAAGAGAGCATAGTCCCCCTTTAACACTGCCTCCACTGATATGTCAGATCAGAAAGAAACGTTAAAAAATCATGAAATATAACATAAAATAAAGGGCAACTACCAATAATATAGAATTATTTCCCTTGGATACACCCCATCTCTTACAAGTACTTCCTTGTGCTCAATTAAATTGTAGACTTTAAGAGACGGCTTACCATCACAGCAATTGTATACAGAGTCACGAGCTTGGGGTTCTAGGTAGCTCTTCCTAATTCCTTTCATAATAATCAGGGCCCTGGTCCAGTGTTTCTCAACCCTTTTGTTTTCCTCGTTGCCCCTGTTAAGATGTTATGACCCCCTTGGACCCCCTCGGACCCCCTTCGTATTAACATAAATACTTGCACTTTTTATTTACTTATATATATCAAGTTCTTTTTAAAAATTTTCGTGCGCCCGCAAATATATGCTGTGGGGGAGACCATACTTACAACGATGAGAATCACTGTTCACGAAAAAGTTCACAAGTGATTAATTCAATTTCGTCGTGGATGGAAATGCTGGTTGGGGAGGAGGGGGTGGGGGTGGAGGGTGGGGGTGGGGGTGCTTGTCTTGAGCTAGCTCTCTTGCTAATAAAGGTTTTGAGCGTTTTAACAATCTATTTGTACAACCCGTAGATCATTTCCATCACATTATATTTGCTCTCTTTGTACCTGTTAATGTCAAGACATCTAATAATCTTATCTTTCAAATCCTACTCTCCACTACTAAGCATGCTTTCTTCTATTGAAACTTCAGAAAGCACAGCAACATTTGTTCCCGTTGAAAAATCTTATCATGGGAACCCTAGAACCACATGCATTGCTCTGTGTCGGAGCTGAGCTGAGCGTAAAACCAAAGAGCCGTCTGGAGATTGTGCCGATGAATTATCAGCTCCAATCAATACTCATTTGAGATCACATTTTATTTTTTTAATCTCGTAGACGCTGATTAAATGAATTGGGGAGGCGTACGTGCTGGAACCACAAGAGATCGATAGGGAAGAAAGGTTGATAAATCTCAGCTTCCAGGCAACACACGAGACTGGAAGCGTTTATTTTAAAAAAAAAAAAAAAATGCTTTGATGGGTCTCGGGTTGCAGACAACCCTGAATACTAGAACTCTTGGTACACAAAAAATACAGATGATTTTTTAGGTACAGAAATGGATTTGATACAATGATTTCTATTTATTCAGACAAATAATGGCGTTAAAAAGTGTTTAAAGGGGTCGTGAAAGGGGGTTATTTAGGAGTGGGATCATTTCAATACAATAGTCATCCTTTCATGAAAAAGTTGATAATTTGGTGTCACATTTGAGTCGTCCCTACGAAAACAGTACATATCATAAATCAACCATTCCGGTGGCGCTAAAGCTCATGTAGTTGGGTTAAGGCCTGCCCCTATAATATAAGTCCTTCCACGCAGACCTAACTGGTGCTTTTCTCTTCCATAATTGGATTCCCAGTTGTTGTAGATCTTTTTCCACACCATCAATCCCTCTAAGCCTAGTGCAGCCTTTGAGCCATTTTCCTCTGGGGTGTTGGTGATGCACCCACTTCACTCCTCTCTGTCATTTAACATTCTTTCTAAGTGTCCCGTCCAGACCAATCAGCAACTAGAAAAAAAACCCCGAAACAAACCTAAACAATTTCCTCTTAGAAAAAAACTGATCTCAAAAAAAAAAAAAAAAATAACAATTACGGTAAAAAGTCAGAACATTTCAAACTATAAGCGCAATATTATTTAAGACATTTTTGCGCTTGAGATACGTCATCACTAATTTTTTTTTTTTTTTCCTTTCTTAAACTGAATATTACTTTCATTCGCAGCCTCATACGTATGTCAGGCATTAGGATTTCTTTAAAATACTTTGTATTTTCTTTAAACATAACATTTCAATTGTGTAGCTCTTTTATAAAAAAAGATGGCAATCGATCAGGAAACCAGTGAAACGTCACAGAAAGTTTCGAATGACGTCATATTAAAGTTACTATACTTTTCTTTCTAATTTTATCCTTTATAATAACTTCGCTTTTGTTCGTGGGTTTCTGGCTGGGTAAAAATCCTCCGATGGCTAACTGAACCACTTCCCGTCAACCTATCGAGCTGAAACTTGACACATAGACTCTTTGCTAGGGACAACACATTCCGTCAAATGTTCAGCCAAACGTCCAGACATCAACCTCCTAAAAGCAGTTGTTGTTTTTTGTTGTTTTTTTTTTTTGCCTGGTAAAGGATTTAGTTGCACTAAATGAGATTCTTAAAACTATAAAACTGCGCTTGGTAGCGTAATATTTTGTTTTCTTTTTCTAGATTAGTTGGTGAAACCGAATCTGTGGCGTAAAAGGGGGTTTGTCAACAAAATATTAATATAGCTCAGGGGCGAGAAACGAATATGCGGTTGAGAGCCTGGGTAACGGAAATGTTTTGTCCTATTTTCAGCCCAACCCGCCCCCCCCCCCCACTATTACGCGATACTACATTTTACAAAGTTTGTTTAATTCAACTGTATGTCATTAACTCTAAGGCTACGAGCTCCACAACATGGTGTTTTTGCCACGGGAATGCCCGATACTCTCTTTACAACAAGCGGACTACAAATTTAGCGGGGGGGGTGGGGTGGGGGTGGGGGGTGAGAGAGTTCACATGTCTGACATTTAGGATAGCCTCTAACAACATTTCTTTTATCAAAATGCCTATTTTAGAAATATATTGAGTGTTAACTTCAAGGGCAAAGTACGTCATACTATTTACGGGAGGGGGTGGGGGTGTATCGTAAAAATATGACGTCGAATTCGCTGAGCGAAACTTTTTTTTCCAAACTTGTTAATTATCGCAAACTACTTTACTTGGTCAACTTGAATATTTCACAAAACTCTGCAAGTCTCATGTTCAAAAGAAAAAATTGGTGGCGATATCATTTCAGTGCTAAATCACATGATCGTGCGTGGAAAAGAAAAAGTAATACCTACTATGATTCGGAGCACTATACATCATCACATATCTCGGAGCAATTTACCACCTCGCGATATTTCGGAGCACTATACATCTTGACGATATTTCGGAATACTATAAATCATCATGACATTTCGAAGCACTACACATCCTCGTGATATTTTGGAGCACTATGCATCATCACGATATTTTGGAGCCCTATAATTCTTCACAATATTTCGGAGCACTATACATCATCCCGATATTTCGGAGCACTACTCATCCTCGCAATAGATCGGAGCACTTTACATTCTCACGATATTTCGGAGCACAATTTCAGATAGCCATTCTTTGAAGTGATTTTGGACAATGTGCATTCCTGCTTTAGCGCTAAACATTCAACAATCTCAAGTAGTGTCTGCTTGGCCATTCTCCAAATAAGCCGAAGGAAAACATCAATTTGTTTCGTTTCAACGAAGTTTTTCAATTTTTGTTTTTTTAATGTCCGAAAAATGTGTGTGTTTGTGTGTGTGTGTGAAGCCCAGAGTAAGTGATAAGAGTGCGATGATCAGAAAAAATATCATAAATATTTTTAAACAATTTTTAAGAAGAACTATTATACTCAAAAGGCGTGTCAAATGAACAATTTTCTCTTAAATCTCAACCTTAAACACATTTCAGTTTCTAGATTCATTTTACACAATTTAAAAAAAAAAAACAAAAAAAAACAACTTCATTCTGATAACTTCCGTTTTTGTCGTTGCTGAATTAAAATTTAACCAGTTTTGCCTCTCTGGTTCCTCATAAAAGACGCTGCGTTTCATTTGTTTTTCCTTTTCATTCACACATCACATTGGCCGCAATGCTTTTTTAAAGGCTTTGTAATCCGCGAGCTTTGAATTAAGATTAAAAAGAAAAAAACATGCGCCTGGTCAGACACAACAATTTCTCAAAAGCGCGCAGTCTCCACCACGCAGTCAGACCGTCTTTCCTTTCAGATATGGCCGTTACCTTGATAAACTCCTCGGAGGCGCGGGAATGCAACGGAAATAACTCGATCGCCTCGTTTCCGTTTCAAGAGATTTTCGAAGACGAGCCGTATGTCATTTTCACCCAGGTCTTCAGCATCCTCGGCGCCGTCATGTCCGTTCTCGGTGCGCTGGGCAGCCTGGTGGCCGTCCGGACGTTCGTTTCGATGGGACTAAAGGACGGCATCACGGTGGTGTTCATGTTCCTGGCCGTTTGTGACTTCTGCTACCTGAACGTGATAGCCGTCAACTCGGCCTCGTTGTGGTTTTACGCCACGGAGAAGAAGCACAAGTACAAAATGTGGTACTCGGTTGACCCTTATGGGATCTACATCTTCTCCGCCAACATGGGGATCATGTTGTACCTGCTCACGGTGTTGAACACGACCTTCCTCGCCGTGGTGCGGTGCTTGTGTGTCGCGATGCCCATCAGATTTAAGCACATCCTCAACAGAAGACGAACCGCCGTGATCATTTTCTTGTTCTGCGCCGTCACCGTGCTCAGCTACCTCCCGATTCTCATTCACATGAGGATGGTCAGCGCGTGCGACGCCAAAATCAACCGCACCAGGTCGGTCCTCTGGACGTCCTCGAAACGGGACGAGGTCAAACAGGCCGTGTGGTTGTCCCGGGACGTGGTGGTGACAGTCGCCACGCAGGTCGTCATCCTCGTCTGTGTGGCCATCATGATCCGGTGCCTGCGCGCGTCGTCTCGATTTCGCCGCAACCGCTTGTCCGGACGCCAGCAGGCGTCAGTGTCAAACCCGGTCTTCAGCGTCTCATCGGAGACGCTCGAAACTTCTTCGACGCCACCTCAGTCCTCCACCGACGCCATCGGTGGCAACAGCGACGATACGTTGCCGAGAAATCAAAGCGCCGACTCTGGAAAACTGGCGGCGAAAGATGTCAACGTCGTCCGGCAGGTGGTCCTCATCTCCGTGGTGTACATCGTCTGCAACACGCCCAAGCTGTGCGTCGACATCACCACCATGATCGTCCCGGAGTTCACGCTGGGAAGGAGCCTCCAGAACTTGTACCTGTCGATCATCTGCGCCATGGAGCTGTTTCAGGCGTTCAACTCCAGCATCAACATGTTGATTTACTACAACTACAACTCAAAGTTCAAACTTCACTTCATTTGCTGTAGGAAGCGTAAATACTGATACCTTGTCTATAGTAAATACTGACTTTGTCTATAGTAACTTTTCAGGAAATCATCTTGTCTATTTTCGTTTAACTAATGTATTGGTGAATTAAATGTGAACTCGTTGATAAAAAACAAGTGTCCACAATTGTGCCCTTCAAATAGTTCACCACAGCTTACCATTTACTTTTTTTCAAACTGCCCTAAAGCAACTGGTTCCAAAAAATTTTTGTTGCTTGTATCCATCATTCACGAGATATGTAATCAATTCGATATTTTTTTAAGAAAACAATATTTCACCACAGCTTATTGTAATATATATATACTGATTGCTTTGTTATATCAGAACAAACTCTCGAAGCAAAGTGAACTTCTTAAAACTTTCTTCTTCTCTTTTCTAATATTTTAAAATATCGGGAATGAAATGCCATAACAGTAAATTATTCTTAACCAAAACAAAAATAAATGCCTGAAGCAAATTCCGAAATCAAATGTTTCTTTTAACTCATAATGCAAGGTTTCAAATCGGAGTGGCGATATTTGGCGTAGATCTATTCTATTCTTTATACACTGAACGGATTTTTTGTTGTTTAAAGTGTAATATTTGTTTCTAAAGTAATATTCACTTTCGCTTTGACCTAAGCTTTGTGTACGCCAAAAAAAAATAATTCTTATGCTGCCGCTTCATGAATGATTGTGTTGACCTGTGTGTGGAGCAGTCCTTCAATATTGCCGCTTCATGAATGATTGTGTTGACCTGTGTGTGGAGCAGTCCTTCAATATTGCCGCTTCATGAATGATTGTGTTGACCTGTGTGTGGAGCAGTCCTTCAATATTTTTATTTTCTAAAACCTTCTTTATTTTTAATTATCTTAAAGGGCCACAGCAAATATTAAATAAATGTTGTTGTTTTTTTTTATAAAGCTATAAACTTTTGGAATATGTTGAGATTAAACATGGATTTAACTAATCATTGAAGAACATGACGTCATGACGTGTCTCTCCTTCCCCCCCCCCTTTTGCGCAGACGACCGACACAAAACGAGAACCCAAGGGCTGAAAGTGCGCAGACATTGGAGACAATGAAGGATCCACGCCTTTAGGATTATAAGATTATCATATATTATTTCGTCATGATTTAATCAGCGATCAGTGGCGTCGCTAGGGTTAGTGCCGCCCGGGGTGGGTCAGGCTATCTGCAGCCACCTTCCCGCGAATAATGCCCTCGGAGGGCGGCCAAAATTGCCGCCGCTCAATAAATAGGAAGAAAACAAAAAATGCCCGGGGGGGGGGGTCTTTTTTTTTCCTTCCCTTTTATACAGAGGATTTGCTGTGGAGTAGCAGGATTAAATAGTAAACTTTTTTTCAAAGAAATGATTATACAGAAATGATTATTTTATAATAAGGGTTCTTTTTAAAATCTGAACAATTTCAGGAGAAGATCACTCTCACTTGAAACATCTTTATTTTTTCAATGTATTTTCTTTTTACCGTTATTAATCAATTTTAAGTTTATCGGGGTCGAGGGTAATTTTGCTGAAAAAAGTTTGTTAGAGGATGTATCAGAGAGTTTGTTAGTGAATAGAGTTTTTTAGTGAATAGAGTTTGTTAGTGAATAGAGTTTGTTAGTGAATAAAGTTTGTACGTTATTAGAGTTTTTAGTGAATAGAGTTTTTAGTGAATAGAGTTTGTACATGAATAGATTTTTTAGTGAGTAGAGTTTTTAGTGAATAGAGTTTATTAGTGAATAGAGTTTGTACGTGAATAGAGTTTTTAGTGGATAGAGTTTTTAGTGAATGGAGTTTTTAGTGAATAGAGTTTGTACGTGAAAAGAGTTTTTACTGAATAGAGTTTTAGTGAATAGAGTTTGTTAGTGAATAGAGTTTGTACGTGAATAGAGTTTTTAGTGAATAGAGTTTTTAGTGAATAGAGCTTTTAGTGAATAGAGTTTTTAGTGATTAGAGTTTGTTAGTGAATAGACATTTTAGTGAATAGAGTTTTTAGTGAATAGAGTTTTTTAGTGAATAGAGTTTGTTAGTGAATAGAGTTTGTTAGTGAATATAGTTTTTTCGTGAATAGAGTTTGTTAGTGAATAGAGTTTTTTCGTGAATAGAGTTTTTAGTGAATAGAGTTTTTATTGAATAGAGTTTGTTAGTGAATAAAGTATGCTAGTGAAGATTTGGTGTAAAAGTAACAACACAGTCTTTCCTACGTTTAAGACAGAAGAGATTTCAGAATGTCGTGGTATATTAATGAGATGTGAAAACAACTAACTACTAATAGATTAGTAGCCCAAGAAGTAGAACTATAACATAGGGAACAATTAGTAGCCCCGGTAGTAGAACTCTAACCTAGGGAACAATTAGTAGCCCTTTTATTAGATTTCTAACCTAGGAAACAATTAGCAGCCCTAGTAGTAGAACTCTAACCTATGGAACAATTAGTAGCCCTATTAGTAGAACTCTAACCTAGGGAACAATTAGCAGCCCTAGTAGTAGAACTCTAAACTAGGGAACAATACTCTTCAATGTCGTAGACTTGTTTGCCGAGTTAGTCATATTTCCTTGCAAGGATTCTATATTCCATGTGTGTTTTTGTTTGTAAGTACAAGTTTGTTTGTGCAAGTTTGTGTTTGTATGTGCAAGTTTGTGTTTCTATGTGCAAGTTTGTGTTTCTATGTGCAAGTTTGTGTTTCTATGTGCAAGTTTGTGTTTGTATGTGCAAGTTTGTGTTTGTATGTGCAAGTTTGTGTTTCTATGTGCAAGTTTGTGTTTCTATGTGCAAGTTTGTGTTTCTATGTGCAAGTTTGTGTTTGTATGTGCAAGTTTGTGTTTCTATGTGCAAGTTTGTGTTTGTATGTGCAAGTTTGTGTTTCTATGTGCAAGTTTGTGTTTCTATGTGCAAGTTTGTGTTTCTATGTGCAAGTTTGTGTTTCTATGTGCAAGTTTGTGTTTCTATGTGCAAGTTTGTGTTTCTATGTGCAAGTTTGTGTTTCTATGTGCAAGTTTGTGTTTCTATGTGCAAGTTTGTGTTTCTATGTGCAAGTTTGTGTTTCTATGTGCAAGTTTGTGTTTCTATGTGCAAGTTTGTGTTTCTATGTGCAAGTTTGTGTTTCTATGTGCAAGTTTGTGTTTCTATGTGCTCGCGTTTGTTTGTAGTTGTTTCGCCGCTTCTTCTTTGTGGGTTTTTGTCTTTGCGTCAGTATGTTTGCCTGTCATTGATCCGTCTGTACACGCATATGGTTAGTTGAATATTCCTTTTTTATATGATTTGTTAAGACTTGTAAATTGATTTAATACAGTGGTTCTCAACCTTTCTAATGCCGCGACCCTGTAATAGAGTTTCTCATGTTGTGAAGACCCCCAGCCACAAAATTATTTTCGTTGCTACTTCATACCTGCAGAGCACAAAGGGGTCGCGACCCACAGGTTGAGACCCGCTGATTTAATATGTTTTTTTATGTTTATTTATGATCACCGCGGTTTAACATGGCTGTGCATGTTCGTAGGGCCGTACGCAAGGGGTCATTCGCAAATTACGTCCCGCTTAGGGGGGAAGGGGGGGGGTCGAGAATTTGTGATACTTTGTGATGGTCAAATATTTGAGACGTCACTATTTTTTTTTATTTTATTTTTTACATTATTATTAATTGTGTTGTTGTTGTAAATCTAAAATTTTATAATTTTGAAAAATCTTTGTTCAATTAATTTTAAAAACATTTAATTTGAGGTCGAAATTGCCTCATGTATTATAGGGACTGTGAAACTCGGTCAACTGTTTTTGCCATTTTACATTCGGCTTGTGGATGACTTCGTCGTTTCGAATCACAGTTTTCTAATAATACTACATCTGAATCCATTGTGGGGAAAATGTAAAAGAATAAAATAAAATCTTAGTTTAGTTATGACATTGTTATGTGTGTTTTAATTTTTTGGGGTCTGACTTGACACTAAAGGGGGGGGGGCGGGGGGAGGGGCAAAGAATTTGTGACACTTTGTGACGTGGGGAGGGGAATCTAAAAAGGTCTTTTTTTTCGTGACTCTATTTGCTAACGACCCCCAACGGGTACCGCAGGGGGGGGGGGGGGGGGGAGGGGCAAAGAATTTGTGACACTTTGTGACGTGGGGAGGGGAATCTAAAAAGGTCTTTTTTTTCGTGACTCTATTTGCTAACGACCCCCAACGGGTACCGCCAGAAGGCCTTCCACAGATGGCACACAAATCGTCCCATTTCATAAAAATATGTTTTTTTAATAGACACATTTTGAGAAGGGGTTGCCCCATCCAGGCGTTGCCATGGGAGCAGCTCTTGCTTGCAACAGATCCCTTCGTGTTTGTGTATGATTGCGAGATGGTATTAAGAAGCCTGGACTGGTTTGTGTATGTACAAGTGTTTGTATAGCAGCTAACGCTTGACGTTTGTCTGTTTGCTCCTGCGTGTTTGTAAATATGATTGTAATTTTTTTTCTTTTTATTTTATGATATTTTTTTAAAAAGAATCTCCTTTCTAATCTTTCAGCCATTTGAAATAAAAATAGGCCAGAATTTTTTAATGAGAATAGCTTAAAATTTGATTCTCTTAATTTTATCTCATTTTCAAATACCTAATGTTGTCAGTTAATTTTTTTTTTAAATATATCTACCTCTAAGCATAATCTTGGTTTAAGTTTGTTATTTATAGGAAAGCAGTCACGAAAAGACTCTTGGGTGTGGAGAGTATTTGACTGAAAGGAAATGTATATTTATTTACTTTTGTTTGACTCTAATGATCTCGTAGTTAAGCATTGGGGGGGGGGGAGACACTGTGGGCGTGTCTTTTGCGTCTTATCTCGGCATTGTTGACATAAAAAATTGAAGAGAGTGAATGCCATTGGGAAAATAGTGACGTCATACAGGAAAAAAAATATTGTGGAGAGTTATGTTTCGAAGGTTCAAAAGTTTTAATCCAAGGTTTTGGTACTTCAACTCGAAGATGTACTATATC